TTCTGGGTAGTCTGTCTCTCTCTGATATGAAGGACGGGACATTCTGGGTAGTCTGTCTCTCTCTGATATGAAGGACGGGACATTCTGGGTAGTCTGTCTCTCTCTGATATGAAGGACGGGACATTCTGGGTAGTCTGTCTCTCTCTGATATGAAGGATGAGGACATTCTGGGTAGTCTGTCTCTCTCTGATATGAAGGAGGGACATTCTGGGTAGTCTGTCTCTCTCTGATATGAAGGACGGGACATTCTGGGTAGTCTGTCTCGTTCTCTGATATGAAGGATGGGACATTCTGGGTAGTCTGTTTTCTCTGATATGAAGGATGGGACATTCTGGGTAGTCTGTCTCTCTCTGATATGAAGGAGAGACATTATGGGTAGTGTGTCACATTTTAGAGGTCTCTGTTTTATTATGCATTTTGTTTTTATCTTATGTTCTGTGTCTTTAAGACTTTTCTATCTGTAGTAAAATATCTTTTTTTCTATTTCAATGGTTTTTATTAAATTTTTAAACAGTATAAACAGAGGCAATAAAACACGCCCACACAGGGGCTATCAATTGCACAGATAAACAAAATGCAAAATAAAAAAAAAAGGGGTGGAAAAACAATGCTCTAATGCCAACAGGGCAAAAGGTACGCCCACGCAGGGGCTATCAATGGCACATAAGTTACAAAAACAATAATGTAACTGATTATAACAACTAAATGCAGCTGTCCTAGTCACACCAAAAACAGAGAGATAGAGAAAAAGGAAAAGAAAAAAAAAAGAAAAAAGAGGGGGGGGCAAAGAGCAGGGATTCAAGAGCGCCAACACCGAACGCCATTACATCCCCAGACTAGCCGGGGAGGAGTGAGGGAAGGGCATATTGCAACCACGGCTCCCATATTTTCAAAAATTTACGTTGGGAGTCATTGCGGATACTCGACATCTGTTCGTTGAGCATCATAGTGGTCATACGATCCCGCACCCCCTGAAGAGGGACAAACGGACTCTTCCAGGCCTGAGCAATTGTTCTAGTGGCTGATGAAAACAGATAGGAAGCCAACTTCTGCTGGTGAGCCAAGAGGCCCGGTATGGGGCAATGAAGCAAAGCATACCGAACATCCCGGCGTATGAAGGTAAAATATCTTTTTTAAACAGTTTGTTGCATAAGAGTTAGGTTTATTGTTTCTTACATTTTTTAGTTGTTTTTGAACTTCCCTGGTATCTCTGTAAGGTAGATACAATGCAGGAATGGTTATTAGGGTACATTTCTTGGGGCTGCAGTTCCTCTGAACTCCACAAGATGGTGATCTCATTTCTACTACCCAGACAGGACTTCTCTATGGAATACGGACAGGAAGTGATGTCAGGAACAGACAGGAAGTGATCTGGAATAAAGATAAGACGTTCCCTTTGGTCTGAAGGAGATCGGAGAGGTTGCTGGACGTGGCAGTAGAGGAGAGGTAATTATTATTATACAGGATTTATGGCGCTAACAGTTTGCTCAGCGCTTTACAATATAAGGAGAGACAAAAGAGCAACAATACAGGATCAATACAAGACGGGGGATTTGAGGCCCTGATCCTGGGAGCTTGAATCTAAGAGGGAGGGGCTAGTTCTGGGCAAACTTTTTGACTTGGAATTGAGGCCGCAATGGGGATTATTCAGACCCGGGGGCCGGACCAAGATTGAGAGGGTATGTGTCATCCTGCAGAAGTATAGTAATATTCCCCCATAGTAAGCATAGTAATTCATCCCCCAGCATATAGGGATTCATCCCCCATAGTAATTCATCTATAGTAATTCATCCCCCATATAGGGATTGGCAGTAATTCATCCCCCATATAGTAATTCGTCCCCCATATTAGTAAGATTCGTCCCCCATATAGAAAGTCCCCCATATAGGCCAGTCCCCCATATAGTAAGTCATGGGGGTTGAAGGGGTCCCATATAGGGAGTCTCCCCCATATAGTAAGTCCCCCATATAGTAATTCATTCCCCATAAGAGTAAGTCCCCCATATAGTAATTCATTCCCCATATAGTAAGGTGGAGATATAGTAATTCATTCCCCATAGGTAAGTCCCCCATATAGTAATTCATCCCCCATAGTAAGTCCCCCATATAGTAATTCATCCCCCATATAGTAATTCAGGAGTAAGTCCCCCATAGTAGTAATTCATTCCCCATAGTAAGTCCTCCAGAGGGTAATTCATCCCCCATATAGTAATCCCCCATATAGTAATTCATCCCCCATATAGGCAGAGAAGTGGCCATATAGTAATTGAATCCCCCATATAGAGGGTCCCCCATATAGGGTGGGAGGACATTTCTGAATATAGGCCAGTCCTCCATATAGTAATTCATTCCCCATATAGTAAGTCCTCCATATAGTAATTCATCCCCCATATAGTAAGTCCTCCATATAGTAATTCATCCCCCATATAGAAGTCCCCCAGTGGAGTAATTCATCCCCCATTATAGTAAGTCCCCCATATAGTAAAATTCATCCCCCATATAGTAAGTCCCCCATATAGTAATTCATTCCCCATATAGTAAGTCCTCCATATAGAATTCATTGGACATATAGTAAGTCCCCCATATAGTAAGTCCCCCCTGTGTCACTTACCTTTGGAGGGTCCGCGCGTTCCTCTCGAATGGATTCCCAGCGCCGTTTCTCTGGTCTTCAGGGGAGGACTGTGAGAGGAGAAGAGGTGATTTCAGGCATGCCCCGCCTACAGGCTGCCCCGCCTACATCCTGGCAGATGCAGAGGGTGACGCCCGAGGGAGGAGGAGGGAGGGGGGAGGCCATCCGGAGGGAGGGGGGAGGGATCGAGGGGAGAGGAGGAGAGGAGGGAGCCCGATTGGGAGAGGAGGGAGGGGAGGAGGCGGGCGCCCGGCACACAGGAGTGCCGCATCTAAGTTTGTAAAGAGCCGCGGAGCCGACCACTGGCCTTGAGGGAGGCTAGCTCCGCGGGCCGGATTAAACAAGAGGGATTCCGCCGGGGTATACGGCCCGCGGGCCGTAGTTTTTTGCCCATTGCTGGGGCTAGTGGTACAAAAGGTAGTAACTGTGGGGGATGGACTGGTTGGAAGAGTAGAAGATTCCAGTATTAGCTGAGGGCAGGGATAGGCTTCCCTGAAGAGAGAGGTTTTCAGAGATTGCCTAAAAGTGAACAGAGTAGGTGATAGTCTGATAAATTGGGGGTAAAGAGTTCCAGAGGATGGGGGAAGCTCTGGAGAAGTCCTGAGACGAGCATGGGAGGAGGAGACAAGGGAGCTGGAGAGTAGGAGGTCTTGTGAGGAGCGAAGAGGAGGAGGTTTGGGTGATATTTAAAGACAAGATCGGTGATGTACTTTGGAGGCAGAGTTATAAATGGCTTTATATGTTATTGGAGTGTTTTGAATTTTATCCGTTGGGCAAGGAGGGGGAAGCCAGTGGAGGAATAGGCAGAGAGGGGTGGAGGACACTGAATGGAGGCCAGTGGAGGGATTGGCAGAGGGATGAAGGACACTGAATAGAGAGCAGTGGAGGGATTGGCAGGGAGGGGTGGAGGACACTGAATGAGGCCAGTGGAGGGATTGGCAGAAAGGGGTGGAGGACACTGAATGGAGGCCAGTGGAGGGATTGGCAGAGAGGGGTAGAGGACACTGAGTAGAGGCCAGTGGAGGGATTGGCACAGAGGGGTGGAGGACACTGGGTGAAGGCCAGTGGAGGGATTGGCAGAGAGGGGGGTGGCAGATACACACTGGTTAGTAAGGTGGATGAGTCTGGCAGCAGCATTCATGATAGACTGAAAAAGGGATAGCCTGCGATGAGGTCGGCCACAATGAGGAGGGAGTTACAATAGTCAAGGCGAGATATAAGGGGTCGGCCAGGGAGTGAATAAGTTGCTTAGTGGTTTCCGAGGTTAGGAACGGGCATATCTTGGAGATGTTGCGGAGGTAAAGTCTTCAAGATTTGGACAGTGATTGGATTTGGGGGTGAAAGGACAGATGGGAGTCTAGGATTACACCTAGTACCCTGGCATGAGGGGAGGGACTGATGGTTGTATTATTGATCTTGATGGAGAAGTCAGGGGAGGGGGCACAGGCTGGGGAGGAATACTAAGAGCTCAGTTTTGGAAAGATTGAGTTTGAGGAAGTGGAGTGACATCCATGCTGATATGTCACTTAGTAGGTTAGTAATGCGAGAGGAGACTGAAGGGGTGAGGTGAGGAGGAGACTGAAGGGATGAGGTGAGGAGGAGACTGAAGGGGCGAGGTAAGGGGTAGAAAGATAGATTTGTGTGTCATCAGCATAGAGATGGTACTTAAAGCCGTGGGAGTTTATCAAGTGACCAAGGGAGGAGGTGTAGATGGAGAAGAGAAGGGGTCCAAGGACAGAGCCTTGAGGGGACCCCTACAGAGAGAGGGAGTGAAGAGGAGGAGGCAGAGTTATCGGTAACACTGAAGGAGCTCTGCGATAGGTAGGAGGAGAACCAGGAGAGAGCAGAGTCTCGGAGGCCAAGAGAATGTAGTTTTTTGAGGAGGAGGGGGTCAAGTAGTAAGAGTAAGTGGCCATTACGGAGTACGGAGTAGTGGCCATTGGTTGGGATGAGTACGGAGTAGTGGCCATTGGTTGGGATGAGTACGGAGTAGTGGCCATTGGTTGGGATGAGTACGGAGTAGTGGCCATTGGTTGGGGGATGAGTAGTTGGCGGAGTAGTGGCCATCGGTTGGGATGAGTACGGAGTAGTGGCCATCGGTTGGGATGAGTGCGGAGTAGTGGCCATCGGTTGGGATGAGTACGGAGTAGTGGCCATCGGTTGGGATGAGTGGCCCATCGGTTGGGATGAGTACGGAGTAGTGGCCATCGGTTGGGATGAGTACGGAGTAGTAGTGGCCATCGGTTGGGATGAGTACGGAGTAGTGGCCATCGGCTGGGATGAGTACAGAGTAGTGGCCATCGGGTTGGGATGAGTACAGAGTAGTGGCCATTGGTTGGGATGAGTACGGAGTAGTGGCCATCGGTTGGGATGAGTACGGAGTAGTGGCCATCGGTTGGGATGAGTACGGAGTAGTGGCCATCGGTTGGGATGAGTACGGAGTAGTGGCCATTGGTTGGGATGAGTACGGAGTAGTGGCCATCGGTTGGGATGAGTACGGAGTAGTGGCCATTGGTTGGGATGAGTACGGAGTAGTGGCCATTGGTTGGGATGAGTACAGTAGTGGCCAGTAGTGGCCATTGGTTGGGATGAGTATGGAGTAGTGATCATTGGTTTTAGCAGTTAGTAGATCATTAGTGAGTTTTAGTAGGGCAGTTTCAGTGGAGTGTAGTGAGTGAAAGCCAGACTGTAAAGGGTGAAGAAGGTTGTTGTCGGTGAGGTGGGAGCTCAGGCGATTGTAGACTAAGCGTTCTAGGAGTTTAGAGGTAAATGGCAGCAGGGAGATGGGTCTTAAGTTGTTCAGGTTGGTGGGGTCCAGGGAGGGCTTGTTAAGTATGGGAGTGATGTGCGCATGCTTTAGAGGGGAGGGGAAGGCACCAGTAGAGAGGGAAAGATTGAAGATGTGAGTGAGGGAGCATAGGATGGAAGAAGAGGGTGACCGTAGTAGTTGTGAGGGGACCAGGATCCAGGGGGCAGGTGGTGAGACGGGCTTCTGAGAAAACCTTAGTGACCTCTTCGGTAGTAGCGAGGTCAGAAGAGGAAAGTGTTGAGGGAGGTTTAGTATAAGGTATGCTAAGTGGGATGGATGTCTGTGCAGTGGTGATGTCCCTACGAATTGCATCAATCTTGTTTTTGAAATGATTTGCAATCTCATGAGCAGTGAGTGAGGGTACTGGGTGGAGGTGGAGAAAGTAGAGAGTTAAAAGTAGAGAAGAGAAAACGAGGAGGACTGGATGACAAGGTATTGATGAGAGTGACAAAGTCGTCTTTTTTGGCAGCATGGAGGGAGGAATTGTATGTGAAGAAAGCAGATTTATATCGGGTGAATGCTTGCTGAGATTTGGTTTTACGCCACAATCACTCCAGCAATCACTCCAACAATCAATTTTCTGGTGTGGTCAGTCTGCCACGGATGTAATGGTCGGGGCCTGATGCTTCATGTTGTTAGAGGAGCAAGTGAGTCTAATGTGGATGAGAGTGAACTGTTGTAGACAGCAGTGGCCAGGTCAGGGCAGGACAGGGGAGAGATTCTGTCATAGAGTTGGTCAGTTGCAGAGTGGAAAGGAGCCGGGTTCAAGTTGTGAAGGTTTCTGCGGGTAATTGTTTGCTGCTTGGAGGGATAGGTGTTTTTGAAGATGAGGAGACTGTGAAGGTGATGAGATTGTGATCAGAGAGAGGAAAGGGGGGTGTTTGTGTGGTTGTAGGGAGTGCAAAGATGGGAGGAAACAAGGTCTAATGTATTCCCATCAGAGTGAGTGGAGGACGGTATACATTGTGCTAATGCAAAAGATGAGGTTATGTTGAAGAGTTGGGATGTAGCCGGGTTGTTGACATTAATAGGGATGGTAAAATCTCTGAGAATGATAGCGGGTAGTTCAGAGGAGAGAAAGTAGGGTGTCCAGGCGAGAAAAATCATCAAGAAAGCGGGACACGGGTCCAGGAGGCCGATAGATCACTGCAATCCTCAGAGAAATGGGAGAAAACAGCCGGATGCAGTGAGTCTGGGAAGAAGAGAAGGATAGAGAGGGAGGGTTAGGGGGGACTTGGAAGGTGCTCAGTGGGGATAGAAGCAAACCAACCCCACCACCTTTCTGACCACTGGGTCTGGGTGAGTGGGTCCAGAGGAGGCCTCCATAGGGAAGTGCTGCGGGGGAAGCAGAATCTGCTGCTTGGAGTCAGGTTTCTGTAATTGCTAGTAGGTTAAGGGAGCGGGAGACAAAAAGGTCATGGACAGAGGTGAGATTATTACAGACAGAGCGGGCATTCCAGAGCACACATGAAAAAGGGAGGGTGGTTTTTGTGAGCACGGGGACTCATATTAAATTGAGGGGATTGCAGCTATTCCTGGATGAAAGAGGATGCCTGGTGTGGGGGTGAAATACTGGAGGACCAGGGTTTGGGGAGATATCCCCAGAGGTTAGGAGGAGGGTGCCTGGTGTGGGGGTGAGATAGTGGAGGACCAGGGTTTGGGGAGGTATCCCCAGAGGTTAGGAGAAGGAGGATGCCTGGTGTGGGGGTGAAATACTGGAGGACCAGGTTTGGGGAGATATCCCCAGAGGTTAGGAGAAGGAGGATGCCTGGTGTGGGGGTGAGATATACTGGAGGACCAGAGTTTGGGGAGATATCCCCAGAGGTTAGGAGAAGGAGGATGCATGGGGTGAGATAGTGGGAGGACCAGGGTTTGGGGAGATACCCCCAGAGGTTAGGAGAAGGAGGGTGCCTGGTGTGGGGGTGAGATAGTTGGAGACCAGGGTTTGGAGAGATATCCCCAGAGGTTTGGAGAAGGGGTACCTGGTGTAGGGGTGAGATAGTGGAGGACCAGGGTTTGGGGAGATATCCCCAGAGGTTAGGAGAAGAAGGGTTGAGGAAAGTAAGATGGGAGCGGGATGTACACGAGCGCACATGCCTTCCAGTCCTGGTGTTTGGGTCAGCAGGTGAGTGAAGTATCAGCAGGAGGTGATGAGAGCAGTAGTAGGGAGATGGTAGCAGTGAGGGGGAGATGTACAAGTTTTTGGGGTGGAGCAGAGGGGGTAAAGAAGTGAGATTTTTGGAACACAGGAAAGTAATATGAAAAGGAGGAGTAGAGGGGACATATGAAAGGTACACGGAGTGGCACTCAGACTTGTAGGAGATGTTTCCTGGGGTGTTTGCTTGCAGTTTGTCCAGCATGCAGGAGAGTTTCTTGTTGTATCTTCCTGCTGCTTGAGTTCAACTGCTTCTTAGCACTCCATCAACGCAGAACTCACTCAAAAAGCAGCCCCCCCTTTCAGTGACTGTGCCCCCCACCATCAGTGATCTCCCCCCATCAGCTGATCTAAATTTATAGGGAGATGGCCCAATGAGCACTCATCTCCACCCCAATTAGGAACTGATAAGGATCACATGAATGGGGGGGATGATTCTCAAACACAGACCAGACACAGGCCATAGTCATAAATCGGTAATAAGATGTTATGTTCTATTTACACCCAGTAACCCCCCGTCATGTCCGTCCTCTTCCTCCTCATAGTCATGTCCATCCTCTTTGTCCATCAGTCATGTCCGTCCGTCCTCTTCCTCCGTAGTCATGTCCGTCCTCTTCCTCCATAGTCACCATGTGTGACGTCTTTTATCTCCAGCAGATGATGATACACACATATATAGTGTGGGAACCCAGATGAACCCCTTCAGGGGCAGAACATTCCCCCACTTCCGGGGCCGGAACATTCTCCTCATTGTGGAGATAAATTCTAGTAATATGGTCCTCTAAACAAACAGCACTGACAATAAATAGACAAGACAAGGACCATCCTGACCATACATGGCCTACAAAGGGCAATGATGACACCAATGGGCAATACACTATGCAGCCAACACAATGATGGAGTGCCGGGGTCAGGAGTATGGAGCATAGAGCCCCTTACATTGCTGCTCAGGAGGAAGAAAACATTCCCCAGCCGGCCATGAAGAATATGTTCCATCATTGGTGTCAGAGGGAGGGAAATACTGAGGGGTCTGAGGGAAGTAGAGGAGCTGAGGGGTCTCTCAGGGGGTACTACAGATAAGGAACTTTGGGGCCCCTGAAGGGTAGTGGAGCTCGGGGCCTTAAGGAGGAAGAGTAGTTGAAGGACTCTGGGCCCTTGGTGGGCACTTTTCTTAGAGGACGTCTGTTTCTGCAGCATTGCCTAAAAGGTAGTCAGGGGTCAGTGCTAACATCTTCAGGAGACACTCCAATACCTTCCCATGACACAGGCTCTGGCAGTGCCCGGTGCTGGAATTCAGAGCCCCAGGAACCCACCACCACTCTGTACAATGTCCTGGATTCCAGAGAATTCTTGGCAACCAAGAGAACCCCCCCATTGTCCTCCTACCCACACTGGGCTGCCATTGGAGGGAAGAGAACAGACTCCTCCCCCACAGCTCTCTACTCCACCAGCACCATCCTCATGCTATCCAATCCAATCCCTTCTCTTACTGAAGAGAGTGACAGTGACATCACTCCTGTCAGTCAGCAGGCTGCCGGAGATTGGAGCCTTGCAGCCGGAGGTCTGGCAATTATCCTGATTAACAGGGAACTCCAGCCAAAAGTCATCAAGTTCCCCTTCCTGGACCTCATGATGAGCCGACATTGACCTCACAGCACTGCCTCAGAGCAAACAAGTCATAGGAAGGATCATATTTATCATTCCTTGTCTGCAGATCTAAAACTCATCAAAACCAGTTCAGAGACCAAACAAACCCAACAGAGAAAAGGGGATTTCTGATCTGGATGGACAAGAGGGTCCCGGGACCTCAAATATGCATCAAACACTAAACAGTCCAAACTAAATGTGTTTCCAGGAGGACAGAAGTCCTGAACTGGTTCCCACCCGGCCTATTGTACAATGATGGCGGACAGGACCTCTCTCCTTCTGGAAGGATGTTGTATGATGTCCTCCCACTCTTGCTGTGCAGGTGGGAGGGGGACGCAGCATGGTGATTGGTGGGGAGCTCAACGCATCACTGATCAGGGAAAAGATCCAATGATGTTGTCTCTTTACCATGTGATCAGCTGTATCCAATCACAGCTGATCACATGTTAACAAAAGCCGGTTATTGGGATTTCCTGTCCTCAGCGCTGTCACTGTCTGAGGAAAGGAAAGGAAACCGATAACCGGCTTTCCTGTGACAGGGGACATTTACTGTGATTATTAGTGCCCACCAGTGCAGCCCCATCAGTGCAGCATATCAGTGCCCATCAGTGCAGCCCCATCAGTGCAGCATATCAGTGCCCATTAGTGCAGCCCCATCAGTGCAGCCCCATCAGTGCCCATCAGTGCAGCATATCAGTGCACATTAGTGCTGCAAATCAGTGCCACCTATCAGTGCCTGTTCATCAATGCAGCTTCATCAATGCCCATCAGTGAAAGAGAAAAATATTTTTTTTGCAAAATGTTATAACAAATGAAGAAAAAAGTTTTTTACTTCAAAATTATTGTTCTTTTTTTGTTTGTTTATCAATAAATTAAATCTCCCCTTCCCTCCCCCCAGTGGTGAATTAATACTGTACCACCAAAAAAAGCTCTGTCTAAAAAAATGTTACAAATGTCATTTGGGTTCAGTGTTGCATGACCACGCAAGGCCACGGGAGGAAACGGGAGGTGAACGGAGGTTAGGACAGGAAGGGGAAGTGGGCTCGGAGATATGGAGACACACAGTATAAATAAGACCATCTACCACCAGCAGCCAATCCTCTTACAGCCCCCTAGAGGAGGGGAAATGCGTCAGTGACGGCTGCGGTGATGTAATTCCCGAATGGTGAGACTCATGTGGATGGGACACTTTCGGTCGGACATTTTGCTTGTATATTATATACAAATGTGAGTGTTGCTGTAAAGGAAGTTTGTAATTAGAGATGAGCGAATCGAAGTAGGCGAAGTGGAATTCGTTTCGAATATTAGGAAAAATTCGATTCGCGCCGAATCCGAAAATTGGAGCGGGGATCTCTGGGAAGGCGCGCAGACAAGGCGCGCTGACCCATAATGCATTCATTCATGACATGTGATCGCATTAGCCAATCAGCAGCCAGCCAGCCAGCACTGTGTAATGGTCGAGCTATAAATTGCGGCCATCTTACAATTCTCCATTTGCCTCCAGTCATTCAAGAGAGACAGACCACTCTGTATTAGGGACAGAGTTAGGGCCACAGATACTTTAGGGACACGACACATAATTGTTACTCAGGGACACATAATTGTTACTCAGGGACACATAATTGTTACTCAGGGACACAGAACTGTTACTCAGGGACACAGAACTGTTACTCAGGGACACAGAACCACTGTTACTCAGGGACAGACACAGAACTGTTACTGAGGGGACACAGAATTGTTACTGAGGGACACAGAATTGTTACTCAGGGACACAGAAACTGTACTCAGGGACACAGAACTGTTACTCAGGGACACAGAACTGTTACTGAGGGACAGACACAGAATTGTTACTGAGGGACACAGAATTGTTACTTGAGGGACACAGAATTGTTACTGAGGGACACAGAATTGTTACTCAGGGACAGACACAGAATTGTTACTGAGGGACACAGAACTGTTTACTCAGGGACACAGAACTGTTACTCAGGGACACAGAACTGTTACTCAGGGACACAGAACTGTTACTCAGGGACACAGAACTGTTACTCAGGGACAGACACAGAATTGTTACTGAGGGACACAGAATTGTTACTGAGGGACACAGAATTGTTACTGAGGGACACAGAATTGTTACTGAGGGACACAGAATTGTTACTGAGGGACACAGAATTGTTACTGAGGGACACAGAATTGTTACTGAGGGACACAGAATTGTTACTCAGGGACACAGAATCGTTACTCAGGGACACAGAATCGTTACTCAGGGACAGACAACAGAATCGTTACTCAGGGACAGACACAGAATCGTTACTCAGGGACAGACACAGAATCGTTACTCAGGAAGGGACACAGAATTGTTACTGAGGGACACAGAATCGTTACTGAGGGACACAGAATTCGTTACTGAGGGACACAGAATCGTTACTCAGGGACACAGAATCGTTACTCAGGGACACAGAACTGTTACTCAGGGACACAGAATTGTTACTCTGGGACAGACACAGAATTGTTACTGAGGGACACAGAATTGTTACTGAGGGACACAGAACTGTTACTGAGGGACACAGAACTGTTACTGAGGGACACAGAACTGTTTTACTCAGGGACAGACACAGAATTGTTACTCAGGGACACAGAATTGTTACTCAGGGGACACAAAAACTGTTATCAGGGACACAGAACTGTTACTCAGGGACACAGAAACTGTTACTCAGGGACAGACACAGAATTGTTACTGAGGGACACAAGAATTGTTACTAAGGGACACAGAATGTTACTGAGGGACACAGAATTGTTACTGAGGGACACAGAACTGTTACTCAGGGACACAGAACTGTTACTCAGGGACACAGAACTGTTACTCAGGACACGGGACACAGAACTGTTACTCAGGGACACAGAAAGAACTGTTACTCAGGGACACAGAACTGTTACTCAGGGACAGACACAGAATTGTTACTGAGGGGACACAGAATTGTTACTGAGGGACACAGAATTGTTACTCAGGGACACAGAACTGTTACTCAGGGACACAGAACTGTTACTCAGGGACACAGAACTGTTACTGAGGGACAGACACAGAATTGTTACTGAGGGACACAGAATTGTTACTGAGGGACACAGAATTGTTACTGAGGGACACAGAATTGTTACTGAGGGACAGACACAGAATTGTTACTGAGGGACACAGAACTGTTACTGAGGGACACAGAATGTTACTGAGGGACACAGAACTGTTACTCGGGGACACAGAACTGTTACTCGGGGACACAGAACTGTTACTCGGGGACACAGAAACTGTTACTCAGGGACAGAACAGAATTGTTACTGAGGGACACAGAATTGTTACTGAGGGACACAGAATTGTTACTCAAGGGACACAGAACTGTTACTCAGGGACACAGAACTGTTACTCAGGGGGACAGACACAGAACTGTTACTCAGGGACAGACACAGAACTGTTACTCAGGGACAGACACAGAATTGTTACTGAGGGACACAGAATTGTTACTGAGGGACACAGAATTGTTACTGAGGGACACAGAATTGTTACTCAGGGACACAGAATTGTTACTGAGGGACACAGAATTTGTTACTCAGGGACACAGAACTGTTACTCAGGGACAGACACAGAATTGTTACTGAGGGACACAGAATTGTTACTGAGGGACACAGAATTGTTACTGAGGGACAGACACAGAATTGTTACTGAGGGACACAGAATTGTTACTGATGGGACACAGAATTGTTACTGAGGGACACAGAATTGTTATGAGGACACAGAATTGTTACTCAGGGACACAGAATTGTTACTCAGGGACACAGAACTGTTACTCAGGGACACAGAATCGTTGAATTAAAGAGTATGTCAGACAACACGCAGAGGAGTGGCAGAGGAGGCAATGTTTATAGGAGCGAGCAGACGTGGCAGCAGAGGAAGGGGGTGCGGGGCCTCGAGGCAGCACTATTCGCAGCCAGAGGCCAGTGCTCCGGTGTTCATCCAGGCGGTCGTGTCTCCACCAACAACCCTGCCGTCATCGATTGGTTGGCTCGGTCGTCTTCCTCTTCCCAGGTCACCTCTGACACCTACAGCCAACGGTCGGTGGGTACGTCAGACACAAACCGTTAGTTGGCATGGCCCGGGAGCAAGCCCACTGAAATCACGTGTCCTCTACCTGCCCCTGTCCTTTGGTGTTCCTCACCAATGCGAAGTATCGCAAAAAAAAAAAATGCTGTGGGCTCAGCCCCACTGTTACAGTGGTGAGGGGGGTGGAAGAGCTATACAGAGGGCGGTCAGGTATGGGGGGGAGTCATCCGCCTTTTCAGCAGCCATGCGAAGAAGTACTGGCGAGGAGAGTGGCTCGGTAGCCGGTCTAGAGACAGGTCAGTCAACTGACCACACACGCATGCCGAGGGGGCTAGTAGTGAGGCGGAGACCCCTAATTGTTGATAATGAGGAGGCTGATCGCACTTGGCAAGCCTCGTCGTCATCAGGCTATTCGCTTCCGCATCATAAGGAGAAGAGACGGGTTGCCAGCTTAGCAGCGAGCAAAACGTCCGGTGGGGTTGCCCAGGGAAGCAAGCTGGGGTCGCAGGAGTGGGGGGGGCGGGTGGAGGCAACGGCCACGGGAGTAGAGCACCAGCTCCACTGCTGGGTGGGTTCCATTTTTGTCATAGGGTCGGAGGCTGGCAGATGACGGGCCTCCCATTGCTGCTGCCAGGCCCGTAATTCTGCCAATGGGCCCGCGTACCGCCTACCGCCTTCCTCAGCTGCGCCAGTCCATGAGTTTCTTATGGGCGTCCATGTACGGCCTTCACATTTGCTGTCTGTCATCCATCGCCACACTCTGCCATGTGGCCACTTTCAGGTATCCTCACACTGCTGCTGGGTTCCATTTTGTCATAGGGTGACATGGCAGGATTACGGGCCTCACCAATTGCTGCTGCCAGGCCCATAATCTGCCCTTGGACACATGTACCGCCTCCATCATGCTGCTGCCAAGGTCCAGAGTGTACCCTTATGGTTCCCTGTACGGCCTCCCAATGCTGCTGGTCTCCATCGCCACACTCTGCCATGTGCACTTTTCAGGTTCTCCTCACACTGGCTTGCTGGGGTTCCATTTTGTCATAGGGTTGGCTGGCAGATTTACGGCGCCTAACAAATTTGCTAGCTGCCAGGCCCCTAATCTTGCCATGGGCCCCTGTACCGCCCTCCTCATGCTGCTCGCCAGGTCCACAGTGGTCATGGGGTTCCCTGTACCGAAGCCCCTCCCCATTGCTGCTGTCTCCATCGCCACACTCGGCCATGTGCCAAAAAACTTTCAGGTCTCCTCACACTGCTGGTGGGTTCCATTTTGTCCCACATAGAGGTGCTGAGCAGATTACGGAGCCTCCCATTGCTGCTGCCAGGCCCGTAATCTCCAATTGGGCCCCCTGTTACCGCCTCCATCATGCTGCTGCCAGGTCCAGAGTGTCTCATGGGTCCCTGTACGGCCTCCCATTGCTGCTGTCTCCATGCCCACACTCTGCACATGTGCCACTTTCAGGTCTTCCTCACACTGCTGTTGGGTTCCATTTTGTCATAGGGGTGCTAGGGCAGAATACGGGCTTACCATTGATGCTGGCCAGGCCCCCTATAATCAGCCATGAGCCTCTGTTACCGCCTCCTCATGCTTCTGCCAGGTCCCGGTGTGTCTTGGGTCCCTGTACCGTCCTCCCATTTGCTGCTGTCTCCACGCCACACTCTGCATGTGCCAACTTTCTGGTTCTTCCTCACACTGCTGCTGGGTTTCCATTTTGTCATAGGGTTTGCGGCAGTTTACGGGCCCCCCCAGCTGCTGCCAGCCCCAAAATTGCCATGGGCCCCCGTACCCGCCTCCTCATGCTGTTTGCCAGGTCCACAGTGTTCAGGGCCCCTGTAGGGCCCCCCTTTGCGCTGTCCCCATCGCCACTCTCCATGTGCCACTTTCGGGTCTCCTCACACTGTGGGGGGGTTCCATTTTGTCATGGGGTGCTGGAGAACGGCCCCCCATTGCTGCTGCGGCCCGAAATTCTGCCATGGGCCCCCGCCCCGCCCCCTCATGCGCTGCCAGGTCCACAGTGTCTCATGGGTCCCTTAGCCTTTCCCATTGCTGCTGTCTCCACGCCCACTCTGCCGTGCCACTTTCAGGTCTCCTCCACTGCTGCTGGGTTCCCCATTTTGTCATGGGGTGCTGGCAGTTACGGGCCTCCTTTGCTGCTGCCCCATCGCCACACTCTGCCATGTGCCACTTTCAGGTCTCCTCACATGCGCTGGGTTCCCATTTTGTCATAGGGTGTGTGCAGCTTACGGGCCTCCATTGCTGCTGCCAGGGCCCTATTCTGCACATGGGCCCCTGTACTGCCTCCTCATGCTGCTGCCAGGTCCACAGTGTTTCAAGGGTCCTGTTACCGCCTCCCATTGCTGCGTCTCCATCGCCACTCACTCTGCATGTGCACTTTCAGGTTCCTCACACTGCTGGTGGGTTCATTTTGTCATAGGGTTTGACTGGCATATTACGGGCCTCCCATTGCTGATGCCAGGGCCCGTAATCTGCAAATGGTCCCCCGTACCGCCTCCTCATTGCTGCTGCGACAGGATCCAGAGTGTCTCATGGGTCCCTGTACGGCCTCCCATTGCCTGCTTGTCTCCATCGCCACACTTTGCCATGTGCCACTTTCAGGTCTACCTCACACTGCTGTGGGGTTACATTTTTGGTTTCATAGGGTGCTGGCAGATTAACGGGCCTACCCATTGCTGCTGCCAGGCCCCTAATCTGCCATGGGCCCTGTACGCCTCCTCATGCTGCCTGCCAGGTCCACAGTGTGTCGGGGGCCCTGTACGGCCTCCCATTGCTGCGTCTCCATCCCACACTCTCCCATGTCCATTTTTTTTTTTTCAGGTCTCCTCAAAAGCGTGGGTTCCATTTTGTAAAGGGGCTGGCAGATTATGGCCTCCCATTGCTGCCCAGGCCCCTAAGCTGCCTGGGCCCCCGTACCGCCCCTCATCTGTGACGTGCAACAAGGGGGAATTCAACCCTACATAGTTAGACCGCCTTTACGAACGGGAAAGGCCATCACGTTTTTCCCTGATGTTACAAGCGGATAAAGGACTCCCGTGTAACTTAATTCAGCCATGGCGCTAAATGCTTGACCCCTGCCCCTTGTCAGGCCCTTTGAGGAGGCCCACCTATTCGTGAGTCGGCAGGACTAGGGGATGAAGACGTCATTCCTCTGTTTCAGCCGGGAACAAATCTGTAACAATGGCGGTCAGGGTGCGTGGACGTGGCGCACGTTTCCAACGCCACATGACCCCTGGGGGGCGGACGGGAAGAAGGGAGGAGGTAGAGGGGGACATTGGCTCGGGAATTTTTATTGAGAAAAAATTTGGGTGGTTTTTCCACCGGGCGGACAGGAGTTTGGGGGGACAGGGGCATCTGGTAAGGGGGGAGGAGACAGAGGACCCAGACGCACCCCTGGCAAATGGGTGTGGAGATGGAGGCAGGGGGTCCCTCGCATTCCTTGGCAAAATGCCCTAGCAAGGGGCCGGGGGGCTTGCGTAGCGACGCCGAAAATAACCATCAGACAGAGGGATGACCCTTTTTTGGCTGTCCACCTTTTTTGGACCCTCGCAAACCGTTCAAAAAGGGTGGCCTTTTTCAAAACCTGCTGAGAGGGGGGCCAAAAAAAAACGGAAAATAAAAACCCCCCTATTAGTCAGTTGGTCTCTGCCTTTCGCCCCAAATCCATCCTCAACACTGTGGGCCCCGTGCAAATCCGGTTTTCCCCGGGCCCTGGCGCAGGGGAGGGGTGGGGGTAGGGGCAGGGCAGCTCCACCAGCAGCGGCTGCCTCCCTTTTGCAGGGCCCATGAAGAAGTTTTCCCCCGCGCATGAGGAAAAATACTAATCAGGGCCCCAGCAAACACAGCATTAAAGGTTGGGCCTGGAGCAGGACCTCAAACAACAGGCTTGGGCCACTTGGAAAAGCACCCCCGCCAACCGAGGTAAACAATCCCCTTGCAAATGGGGAACGAAACTTGAAACCCTTTTGGGCCCCAACGAGCTGAATTTGCCCTTTAAAAGGGTGTCATGCCCGGCCCGTACGTGGCATCCCGGGCACGTTTTTAGTGCGGCGGGGGTATTGTAACCCCCGCGGAGGACACGACTGGGCCACCCAAAGTTGGAGAGACTCCCCTTTGTGGGAAAAAGAATCAGCGTGGATTATCTGGATTTCAAACCACCCCCGTTCCTGACACAACTGACTAAATCCGCCCTGAATCAAAGCCCCAAACATGTGCCCTTTCAGGTCTCCTCACACTGCTGCTGGGTTCCATTTGTCATAGGTGCTGGCGATTACGGGCCTTCCCATTGCTGCTGGCCAGGTCCCTAATCTGCCATGGGACCCTGTTACTGCTCCTCATGCTGCTGCCAGGTCCACAGTGTGTCATGGGTCCCTGTAAGAGCCTCCCATTGCTGCTGTCTCATCGCCACTCTCTGCCATGTTGCACTTTCAGGTCTCCTCACACTGCTGCTGGGTTCATTTTGTCATGGGTGCTGGCAGATTACGGGCCTCCCATTGCTGCTGCCAGGGCCCCTAATCTGCCATGGGCCTGTACCGCCTCCTCAGCTGCTGCCGGTCCACAGTGTGTCATGGGGTCCGTACGGGCCTCCCATTGGCTGTCTCCATCGCCACACTCTGCCATGTGCCACTTTAGGTCTCATCCCACTGCTGGTGGGTTTAAATTTTTTCATAGGGGGCTGGGAGATTACGGGCCTCCCCCTTTCTGCTGGGCCCGGCCCCAAACTGCCATGGGCCCCCCGTAAAAACCCCCCCCCATGCTGCTGCCAGGTCCACAGTGTGTCAAGGGCCCTGTACGGCCTTCCCCTTTGCTGCTGTCCCTCCCCCACACTCTGGCCCTGTGCCACTTTCAGGTTTCCCCCACACTGCTGCCGGGGGTTTCCCTTTTGTCATAGGGTGCCCGGAAAATTAAAGGGGGCCCCCCCATTGCTGCTCGGGGATGGGCCCCCAAAAAAGCCATTGGGGCCCCTTTACCCCCGCCTCCTCCCTGCTGCTGCCAGGGGCCACAGTGGTCTTTGGGGGGCCCCCGTACGGCCCCCCCCATTGCTGCTGTCTTTCCCTCGCCACACCCCCTGCCATGTGCCACTTTTCAGGTCTCCTCACACTGCTGGTGGGTTCCATTTTTTTCATAGGGTGCTGGGAAAAGGGAAAAAAA